TCCCAACTACGGGCTGTTACTGAGACTTACTATACAGAAAGACTCAATAAATAAACTTGCCCCGACCCGGGACTCGAACCCAGGACCTCCCGAGTGTGCAGCCGTACATGCTAGCCACTACACCACCGAGGCAGTTAAGGTTTTTATTTTTTATTGGCTGTTTTGTATTGGTTAGGACCCTAGGTTGTGATAATGTATAAAGTAGGCACATTAAAGCACCCATTAACTGTCTCTATGCAATAAACAGCATAAATATTTGCTGCGTAATAGTAAAAGCAATTTTTTCTTTTATAATATTACTTAGGATTTTATATTTTACCCTCGGACTAAGAGACTTAAATAGAAGGAGCGTTATTTAACAAAAAATTAAACTAAACAAAACTGATGCTAGTAAGAAAACGTGTAGGTAGAGTACCTACATAAATTTTTAGGCACCCATTTATTTATTTTATTTTTTTACAATGCGATATAATTACTTTTATTTATTTAATTGCATCTATTCTATATTTCTTTCTATAGTCCTGATTTCAATCCGTCACTCTGTTTTGACGTGAAAGAAGGACAAACAATCAAACACTTTCAGATTTTCAATATTAGTATGGATTTAGATTTTAGACTATTACCTGGAAGCTCAACAAATAAGCCCCACTCAAATTCACAGAGAAGTTACTTTTAGCTATAAGAAAAATCTAGAAACTCTTTATAATTATATAATTATTCTAATTATAATTTGTAATTATTATAATTTATTAATAAATAATAATAACTATATATAATAGCTTCTATAGCATTAAAATAGTTCTAACATATATATAGGTAAACCGTTATAAGTCACTTCGAACTCGTCGAAACGAGAAGACTGATGCGTTGTCTTTTGAACAGATTTATGGTACATAGTATTAATTAAATTCAATTACTACTAAAACAAAAGCCCCGTTAACTTAGCGATTGTGCGAGCTGGACCAATTCATATAAGACAATAGATATGCACTCGCGCACCATTGTTATACTCACAATACCCGTAGAAGTAAGAAATAACAATTATTTATATAAACTAGCAGTGCCCGCGGTTTCGCCCGCGTCTAAACTTACGATCGCTAACAAAATTCACAGGATCACCCGCTGGGCTAATCTGAAGATTATCTGAAAATTTCATCAAAATCGCTCCAGCTGTTTTGGAGTCGATAGAAAACATACTCTTACATATAGGTACACATCGATTTTTATTTTAGTTAATCAACAATTAAATTTATTTATTGCTCGGAAAATTGAGTCTTTTATAAAAAAATAGTGACACACCGACTGCAGCGCCACCTACTGGGTCCATTTGTGTTTTCAAACCTTGCAGGGTAGGTACACGGACATATATAAAAAAATATCATTAAAATCGTTCCTGCCGTTTAGGAGAAGATCAGTGGCACACCGACTGTAGCGCCGCCTACCGGGTCCAATTGTGTTTTCAAACCATCCAGGAGCCCACTGAAATATACGCACAAAATTTCATCCAAATCGGTCTAGCTCTTTAGGAGGAGTAGGTTAACAAGCACACGTACAGAAGAATTATATATATTAAGATATATCAATATTCAATATAATTTAGTATATGAAATTCAAATTACTGTTTGTGCAGTTACTAAAATAAAATAATTACTTTTAACAATCTAGGTTTCTTAATTCTTTCCTACATCTAACGCCTTAATCTCCGACGCTTTGAATGCAATATTATGCTTTCAAAGCGTCGGGAACTAACGATCAAAATAAATTCGCGATTTCGAAAAATGCGGAAAGATAGTTTTAATTTAAAATACTTTTAAACTACTAATAAGATATACTTATGGAGTTAAAAATAATTTAAGAAATTAAGAAATTTTTCTTGTAATTTAATAATATGGAAGTTCTTAAAAAATAATATTATTAAGAAAAAATCCTTTTTGTTAAATATGTAGGTATATTGTAGGTATGTAATGTAGTTTCATGTTTTACAATTCGTCATCTCGGTGCTTATTTGTCAAAACGTTCAATTTACCTATAAAAAAAAGAGTTTTCAATGCAGAATTGTTGACTTTTAAATTTCAATTCTACTGATAAATTAGACATTTTACTTTAATAGAGGCAAAAAAATGTATTTTTTTTACATTCGTATTCTTAGAAATTAAGCTTTTTTTTAAATAGAGGACAAAACTCTACTGTAAAATACAACAAGTATTGGTCGTTTTAACAAATAAGCACTGACGCGACAAATTTGGTGAAGATATCGCATAACAGACACATAATAAAAACCTAAAGGTACTTGCATTGGATTGTTAGATACTCCTCGTTTTTAAAATCGGTTAAATAGAATAATAATTATAAATATAGGTTTAAATAGCGTTTAAGTAAAATTAAAGCGTTTACGAAACTGTAAAAATATTTTTAATGGAGCTTTTGAAAGGTGACATAGATTGAAAGTTACTTGCTTAGGGTAGAGTTTATACTTAAAATTTTAAAATATCAAAATTTAAGTTTTCTAACGACAATTAATTATTTCAATTGATCTTAATCGAGCTCAGTATACATTTTAAAGTATACAAATTAAGTTTATAAACCTTCAGATTTTAATTGTGAAGAAAACTTCTGTCCAAGATTATTTATTTACCTATTATTCAAAGAGCTCTACTATTATCTTTTCAAATGTCCATTCGCTCATTAGACACCATTGTTTTGCCTTCATTTCAAACTCCAATAAGACCCTCGTAACTAATTACGTCACTTCTGACATAAATCCTGTAACATTAGACGTCACCCGATACAAGTATTTCATTAGAGGCAATGTTTCCAATCTCGCCCTCACCTGTCCATTTTATTACCCGTAATACGCACGTGCACTTGCAGAATTGCTCGCCATTGTTCTATCCAAATACTTCATTTAATTCAAATGTTATATAACCAAATTGTAACGAACAAAAAAGATACTATTAGCATTATATTTAAGGTTTAAAGTACAATGTAAGTTAGTGTAAGTTACGATTTTCTGTAACAAAGTCAGCCATGTTATTATTTCGTTTTGGCGGGCTTCAGTGATGGAACAATGGCGATGTTGCCATGCGGAATAAACTGTTATACGTTATGAGAGATTATAGGGTAATCTGGGAATATTGAAGACAATAAAATGAGCTTACAAGCTGAGGGGTCGCATAAAGGTAAACGTTTTGCGACTAGTATTGTTTCCATATAAACAAAGGGCATCGATTATTGTTATGATACCATTTTTCTTTTACTTCTTTATTTTAAGATTTGATTTTTTACATTTTTATTCTAAAGGTTCGTAATAAAACAAATATATAAAACTCGTTAATTTTTATTAATTTTATAAATCGAAATTCATTACACCTCATTTCTCGTATAATTACAAATTCCTTTTCGTTATTAATACTATTATTTATAATTAATATAACTTCTCTAAGCCTAGCTAAAATAATTACATCGGCCTAATTTCAAAACATATGTATAAATTAAGTTACAAAACTTTAATTATACTCTTTAAAGAATTTGTTAACTGACAAATTGTTTAAAGGCTTATTGCTATATTTCAACGCTGCCGCGCTTCTACTGTGTTGCCAACTCGCATTAATATAATCTACTAAAATATTTACAATGGAATAAAATGTTTAACTAAAGTGTGATCACGTTGTGTAATTTTAAGTACAAAAACAGTTTTAATTTCATCCTGCCAGTAGAGTTGCGTGAATCGTTATAATCTGTGAAGGAGGCGAGGGTTGTTCGCACAATCGGCACCCAATTAGGGGCTTGTAGTCAATCACCCATCACTCGCGTTAGTCGATTGCTTGACTCGACACACCCCTCACAAGATAATATAATTTATTTTCACGATGTTTTCTTAATTTAATCATTCTCCAAATCCAAATCATAATTTTTATTTTAAAACAGTCATTTAAACTGCTTACATTTACCACATGAACCTTTTTATGGAAAGGTACTTATAATTTTACACACGGTGAAACATATAGGCCTATGTATGTAAATGAATGTTGAAGTAGATACAACTTTAGTTATAAAATTATAATGTAAGTACCAACTTTGCTAAAGTTTTTGTGGAAATATGAAATGCTAGCAGAAACGATGACTGTTTAAAAGTAATTAACTCAAGAAACATTTTAATTCATTTTAATTTTAACATAAAATCTTTTTAAAATACTCTGGATATTGATAAAATCAATTACAGCTATAGAAATTTAAACGAACACGTTTATTTTATATTTTATTAAACTTCAGTTCAATATTATGTATAATACTTGTACTACTATGAATTCCACTGGAAAATAATTAGCTATGAGCCAATGAAGTCGGCGACTATGCAAATCGATATTTACAAGTTACTATCTACACACGCACAAAACACTGACCGTTTTAATCATAAATTATACTATACACACAACAATTAACTACATTATATCAGTTATTTACAACAGCTCAGAATGTATCCTAGATGAGAAGCTGTAAAGTAGAATAATATTTGTTTCACTATTTTATTTGAAAAATCAAATCTGTGGAATGTTAGAAACGAGGAAACATTACGCTATGAATGTGAATTCGACGGCTGAAAAAAAGGCATTCACTAAAAAAATTTACAAAAAAAAAACATTTAAGTCAAATCCTTTGTGGTGCTTATCTATAACTGAATATTTACAAAACCCTCCTTCGAATACCGCTAAAGCATTAGTCCAATGTTCTTTTTTCACTTAATCACTGAATCACTTTCACCAAGTTAGACATTTGGGTAGCGCTCCGCCCACCGCTTTACCAGTGACAATGTTCCTTTCGAAGATAGTCTTAGAACCGAACAAATGAAAAACAAATATAAAATGATCAAAATTACTAGAATAGTGGAAAACTTGTAACCTGGCAACACATTACCTGTTAAATAAAAATAGTCTTTTGAGTTAATCAAAGTACATCTCCTCTTTGAACATTGTCTCGTGGTAAAGCTGTGGGAACTTCTACCATGCCCGGCCCTGGAGTGGTAGGTAACCTGAGCACTGCTGCTGGTAGGCGGTCGGCTGGCGGTAGCTCGAGACCAGGGGGTTGCTGCACGCCGCCTGCGAGGGCTGGGGGGCGGAGTACCCTGATGTGGGTGTAGCACAGTGGCTATGAGCGGGGGATGAAGACTCCCCTGAGCCGCATGGCTTCCCGTCCTTCACCAGCACTGGAACCGCTACCCGTCGAGGCGATGAAGCGGACTGGCGAATAAATGTTTCTTTATATTTCCACTAAATCAAACTCCATAATTATGTTACAAAATTACAAAACTATAAAAAGTAAAAAAACGGAATATCATAAATAATCTTTCCAAAATTATTTCTATAGAATGGTACCTACAACAGTTTCCAGCATTTCTATATTTGGAACTTTTTGGTTATAATTATTATAAGAAAAATAATAGCTAACTATTACTAAATGATTTACCTCTACCATAAAACAAGAAGCTAACCCATTCAAATATCACATCCTTTGGATTAAAAATTAAAAAAAATATCATTCCTTGCTATATATATGCATAGTTTGACACTTCTATTAAAAGCTACAACAGAAATCAAATCTATCTACCCCTCATTAAGCATTACAAAACATTACTCTCCCCACGTCCCCTCGACCCCTCGACTCGCCCACGCTGTAGCATCAAGTCGCATGCACTACGCAAATTGAGCCAATCGAGCCTGGCAACCCCTGTGCTTAATTTGGTCTTGCGACGAGTTAATATTATTTGCTTTTTATTAATAATTTAATTATAACGGGCATACTTTGTCAACTATCAAGAATTCAGATCTTTTGGCATAGTGGTAGTGTTATTGTTTGTTTATTGGTTGGAAGATCGCAGGTTTTATTCTAAGTATGACAAATTAAAAAACCATAGATTGTTGATGGTCGGCGTCAGGGATATTGATCTAACTAGTAGGTACATATACCTATTTAAAAAGTCTTAACTCCTTAAAAATAAAATATAATATCACGAACAATAATTTTTAATCTATAATTCAATACCTACTTTCATCCCAAATGATAATTTACCTCTTTTTGATTTGTAATAATTAATTGTTTTTCCAATTATAAGTAATAATTAAGAAGATGTAGGTACTTCGAATCTGGGACAACCCGATATTCGCATAACTAAACAAAATCACTGCGTCATACGGCAAAACAATCCCAAGAACAAATCCTTAGCCAATTCGCTACAACAACATTAAACAGCAATTTAAAATTTAAAATATATTGGTATCAACTAAATTGTCTCGGATTCGTACGATGCGGGCCCCGTACCAGCGGTGAGTGCGCGGCGGGAGATCGCTATCAACTAGATCTCTTGCTCCGTCAACGATTTTTACCGCTTTGCATATTCATTATTTAATACCTGATTCGATGATAGTCATCAGAAACGCTTTGTTTAGCTTTAATAGCTGACAATACGATTCTTATAAGAGCAGAGCAATGGATTAAGGACGACGTATAGAAATATTCATATGTTCTTTTTACTTACCAAATATTAGAATATGGAAATTCTTTTATTTTTTTGCATTTTGATGTTATTTATATCGGTCGAAAATAAACAAAGTATTATAACTTATACATATACTAGCGACTCACCCTCGATTCGCTCGGGTTCATCCCTAGGTACGTTTTAATGGTTAGTATGAATATAATATGCATATATTATACATATAAACCTTCCTCATAAATCACTCTATCTATTGCTCAAAACTGTATTAAAATCCGTTGTCTAGTTTGAAAGATCTAAACGTACAAACTGCGGGAGCGAATTTGTTTTATAATATGTATAGATTGGTCTGATTCAAGGCTTTTCCCTTTTAGCTGTATGTAAGATAATCAACTATCGCTACATTATATATTAATTGACAGTAAAAAATATTTTTCTGGCATAGAAATTGAACCTGTGGCATAATCAAATTAATATCAAACATTTTATCTAATGTATGAAAATATTTAAAAAAAATCACATAACTCAGTGAATGCTTACCATTAATGTTTGAACTAACTCTTGACCTGAAATTTTAGATATTTTTAGTAAAATATTATGTATGTACGAATTACCTGGTTGTGTTGGTTCTGTTCCGCCATGGCTTTCTCCTTGGCCTGTCTCTTACATTTGTAGCGATGGTTTTGAAACCATATTTTGACCTGTAACAAAGAAATATTTAATAGATGCACCAAATATATTTAATTGTCCATAATTAAAAAAAATACTTTCATTATTGTCTAAGCGTATAAACGATAGTAATTTACTTAAGCGTTATGAGCTATTTCATGATCATATTCTTAAATAGATTAAAAGAAATATCTAGCACACGTGACGAGATTGAACACGTGACCTCCTATTAAGAAGTAAGAACCCACTGCTGAGTGCTGACAGAAAACCGCTTCAAAGTTCCATATTAAAGCTATAATATATAGAACATCAGTCTATCCACTATTAAAAAATAACTCAACTTTCTAAATGGTATACTATTTAATTAAAACCTTTCAGAATACTAAAAAGGGGTACACAAGTACTTAATTTACTTCAACTTTATAACAGTAAACGTCATCCACCATGAAAAAAGAAATCTGAAAAACCTTGAAGTAAAATTGAACGCTCTCAAAGCGCACCGAGTACCAACACTCGAGGGCTAAAGAAGATGGCGCTGGATGGCGCGTCGCAAACACATTACAGTGTGAATGGAATGGAGTGTCCGACGCGCGGGATGCTGATACACTCTTGGCGTATGAATCTAATGATTTTCTTTACTATAATAATCTTGGGTTTTACACACTTTAAAGTATTCTTAGTCAATGAAAATATACGTGATATTATTTGATCGAAACTTCTTGGCGTTTTTGGTGTTTTTTTTTTCCAAACCACCGTTGGGTAGCAACAGATTGTCTGCAAGAGTCTTATGTTATATCACGACACGTATCGCAATTCACATTAACCCCATCTCTATTTCGCGAATGTCAACACACCCGCTGGCCGCGCCTGACCTCCCTGAAATTAGCGCTAGGGCACGCTACGGCAGTCAACACTCTGCCTTAATGACGAAAGAATAAACACAGCTCATGCGATGTTTGCCCCGGCCGGGCCTTTGTCTACGCACGCTGGAAACGCAGCAAAATATACACTTTATTTATTATTTATACATCGAGAGAGTTTCCTCCGTGTTTATTCTTTGAAATGGAATGCCCCACCCCTGGCAGCGTCGCCGTTCCGTTATGAAACGCCAGCTCGTGCATAAATACCCGCCATTTTGTTCGGTTCTCGATACATAGTTGCGAGATCCGTTATGATAACAAAATGAAGATACATGGCTACTACGAAATGCGTTCTAGTGTCCACTTCGCTCGAGGGTCTATCGGTTTATTTGTTATTTTTCAATGTTGACTCTAGAGGTGAGGACGGACCTGTCGGTGGGAACTCGCAGCAGTGACGCGCGCTTTTGTACGTCTCTAGCCGAGACACGTTGCTCGCTAGTTATTTATGGGCTAGATGGCGAGAGTTAATGAACGGGCCCCGTCGGCGGGCGTCGTTTATTGCACTCCGCCGAGGCTTGGACGCTCTCGTGTCGAGTACTTTCTTTTCAATCTCCTTGTGCATAATGCTCCGTGTTTCCTTCCACGCACTCTTCATCTGAGCACCATTCAATTATTTGTTTTACTTTTAAATGACTTGCTCTGGTTGGCAAAAGACGGTTTTCGGGTTTCATATGGTTTTAGATAATACCAATTAGAGGACACAACACTTACTTGTATATCGATATGTGATTATAATCGGCTATCAAATTCGATGTATTCGATTCGATTAGTTAGTTTTTTTTTTAAATAAACCTATTAAATGCAGCTAACAAAACAAAACATGTAATTAAAGCTTAAAGATTAGACCCTTTTTAAATTGAAGTAAAGGCCACCCAATGGCTGTCATCTCGACAATACCAGTCAATTTTGGCACCAGACAAAAACTTCAAAATCAGAGTAAAATATGTCGAGCATATAATAAAGGGTATAAGAATGAAAATGCTTAAGATGCAGTGGAGATGTTTGGAGGCGCGTCCTCGCGTAGGTGTTCCGTTCCTGCGAACGATGACTCGCTGAATCGAGGCCACAATTATTATAAATAAAGACGCTCTCATGTTTGTTTAACTCTTCATTTGGAACAGTGATTTTTGAAACAGTGACGCTACATTTAATTATAAAGTTTTCGTTTACGAACGGTACGGTTTCTGACTAATATTTAGTATCAAAAGCAGTTACTATTTTACAAACGTCGCAAAGACAAAATCTGTGCACTTCCACGAGCACGGTCAGCATTCTGTAAGAGATTTTTCTATTATTTAAGGCCATCTTTATACAATAAGATTAGACAAAAATGTCCAATATTCGGCTTATCCTACCACAAATGCAAAAAAAGTGTTTGTTCTTTCCTACAAAACAAAACCTATAACGAAACAGAAAAATACCTAACATAGACGTATAAACTCAAACACACACATGCACACACACACCCACACTCATACACACACACACACACACACACACACACACACACACACACACACGTGCACACACACACACACATACACACATTCACACACATACCACACACACACACACATATTCATCCATTTTCATTTTCATCCATTTTCATTTTCATTCATTTACTCAGTTATCAAGTTAATGTTACTGCTAACGATAGAACCTAGTATTGTAATTAGTTGATAGTATAAATGAAAACATATTGTACGGTACATAAATATACAGGTAAATATCCAAAGGGGAACGGGACTGTTACTCCTTAATACAGATTATTTTTATAACCTAGCAAGGAGTACAGTACTTCACCCAACCGTATGAAATTGATTTGTACAACCCTTTACTGTAAAAATTACTCTGTTCTATGTTCAATTTCCTTATTTATGAATAAAGTTGTTATTATTATTTTGTGCATAATAATAAAATAAATATTATATTATTCGATCATTTTCCAACATATTATTAACATCACATAAGCGTATATTTTCTTTCAAAATTAAAATATCTAATCTCTATGTTAAAACTCTACTATGTCTGTAAAATTTTAGAACTGAGACAAACCAAGAATTATCAACTATGCTAACATTCTATAAATGCAAATTCTTATTTATAAATACATTCAAATTTTTCTATTTTTCTATGGAAGTAAGAAATTTGTTCGTGTAAGTTCGCCAACAATGGCTCGCCGGGCGCGAAGATTGTGGCTTAGACGCTGAGTAAACACGCGCGCGATGCCTGACAGCCGATCAATGCTTATCATTTATTTAGTAACTTATCAAAATAACGAGGCAAAAACTGACCACATTTATTTACACGTGTGAATTAAAAATTATTTCAAATTTAAACTTTATTCCCTATGTCATATCTACAAGACTGGTGACTAGAGATGAAAAAATACGACGGTTATTTTAGTAAGACGTGAGTTAATGCGACAAATCTATACAATTTCGAAAATAATTTGCGACGTGTTTTTACAGGTGAACTTATATGGGAATTTCACCTGGGATAAAAAATGGCCGTGTGATAGAAATTTTGGTTAAAGTAAATAATTTTATTTTATAACTAAATTTATCGATTTCTGTACAGAAAGTGTCTTTTAAACTACGGCTGTGTTAGCTCAGCATATTTTCATGTGCGAATCATTTTCTACATGATTACCATTTGTCTTAACGGTGAAGGAAAACATCGTGAGGAAACCTGCATGTCTGAGAAAACTTAGCAAGTTTTCAAAAGACGTGTGATGTCCACCAACTCACACTTGGCCGGCGTGACGGACTATGGCTTGGTCCTCGTATTGAAGGGAGGCCCGTGCCCAGCAGTGGGACGTTAAAAAGGGCTGAATACATAAGTACATAACTACTTTATTAAATGTTACCTACCTAAACCAAATCCAAAAATTAAAATACTAGATGTGTCTCACCGCTCACGTGGTCTATATAACAAAATATATGTATACTGTACGTAGGTATATAGGTAACTTGAAGTTTTAACTACATATTTAGTATTTGGTAAAAATGGAATTACTTTATAGCAAACCTTTGGAGAACTTTTTGTTTCATTTAAATATCTTTTTTGTTTAATGTTTCATTTAAATGTGACAACTCTAAGATATGGACTATTATTTAAAAAAAAATTAACAATCGATGATAAATCGGCAAAAATATGGAGTAACAACCATTAGATAGGAAAATTGAGTGATTTTTTTTGAAGTCGGTCCAATCAGTGTAATATAAGCTTTACGTGCAATCAAAATAGGTATAGATACAATGTATATAAACTGCTACATACAGCGAGTATAGTTAGACGCGGACGACCGCCCACCCGGCAACTTTGTTCCGAACCCTCCCCTGCCCGTCGACCGTGAACTACAAAGCTCCAATCAAATATTTACTTGGCAATTCACAAAATTAATATTTATTTAATAAATGATGATTAAATCGCCTTAACGTTTATTAACAAGCTATGTTTTCGTTAAACAAACATTATGTATAATTTTGTTTGCGATATAGGCTTCTATGAACGAAAATAAATATTTTTAATTAAACTTGTAGCCTTTCTTATATTTATTTTTTCATTCGAAATTAATTATCTTTTTTTATTGGTTACGTAAATAGATTTTATTGTAATGTACCAACGAAATTGATGTAAAAAAAATTGTCTAACGCAAATACCGCAACAGGACTTACTATTTGATAGAGAAATCTCAAATATAAAGACATAATGGGCTATACCTGCAACACAAAGAAGTCAGGTGCGTTATCGGCTTAGATTGCTAATTCTATCGTACAAAGAATGTTAAAAAAACTCGCCCATTCATCAAAATATAATCTCCAACGTATTGCGACCATTATCAAAGGAAATGTGCAAATCAACCGAAAACCCCGCAGTTACATCAATATTTTCGCGGTTATTACACAATTATGCCAGCATAGAATATTCTTTTTAATCATAAAAGACATTTCATCGTCCATTTGCAAATTTGTTTTGACATGTTGGCTGCAATGAATAGGTGCGTTCACCGCCATGCCGTCTATGATACCATAAACATTGTTTTTCTTTTAAAGAATTAAGCAGATGATTTTATCGCGGCGAGCCTTTGACAGGAAGTGAATTGAGAT